TGTTCCACATGAATCAGACAGAGCGCAGTTCTGGAAAAGTAATGGACAAAATAAACTAAGAAACAAAAATCTTTTTGGATTTTTCATTTACAACTCTTTTTCGATTTTCAAATATAAAACAGGAAATACGATAACGGGAGACTTGACAAACTCAACTATACTATGACAAACTCCGACACCAACTAACAGAATCAGTACTACTTAACATGACTATAAAGTACAAGACAACATAAAAAACAGACTCAAAACATAAAAATCTCCTTTAGCCAGCTCCTGAATGCAGCGGTCCTGACTGGATGGTCCCGGGGTGTCTGTCATGCTCAAAATCCGGTAAGTAGATTCATACCTTTATGAGAAAACTAAAACCAAAATAGAGTTAAAGATTTAGAACACTATGTGAGACAATAACACTCCCTATTGGACACATGCAAGACATGATTGTGGCTATTTTTAAAAAATTAACCTACGTGGCTTATTAGCGCAAACTCATCAAAGGTGACCTCATAGACATGGAAATACCTCACTAAAGCTTATGTGGATTCAAACTCCCAACAATCATGCCCCGAAATTAATTTGCAAAAATAACCCTTTTTGCAAGAATGGCCGATGTGGCTAGAAGTGGCTAAAGATGCAAACTCATAAAAGGATGGACCTTAAAGTAATATGACACCTAGTTGTGGACTCAAGATTCTAATACATGGGTCAATTGAACCACTTTTGCGAAAATAGCCCTATTTTGCAAAACGGCCTCTGTGGCCAAAAGCGGTAGACATGCAAATTTGACAAGGATGGACCTTAAAGTAAAGAGACACCTAATTGTGTATTGGTGACTCTCCAGACACACTTACACAAACCACTTTGCGAAAATAGCCCTATTTTGCAAAACGACCGATGTGGCCAAAAGTGGCTAGAGATGCAAGATTTGGCTACGACCCTCGAAGCCAAAAACCTAAGACTCACTAGGAAGACCGTACCCTATGTGGGTTGCCTACGTATCGCGTCCCGTAAGACGAGAATCAGGTATGCGTAGTTCGGGAAGATTGGATACGAGCGAGAATTAAAAAAATAATTAATTTAGAGAAAATATATTTTTTGTCTCTTTTTTTTTTTGAAAAATGACGAAAGATGTAAAATCTTTTTGGATTTTATTTTTCTCTTTTTTTCTTCTTCTTTTTTTCTTTTTTCTTTAAAAGAAATGTGAAAGACAAACATAACTGGGCCCTCCTTGCTTCACTTTCACACTTTACCCTCTTTTCTTTCTTATTTACCCTCAACCATCATTGGTCCGCCAAATGACCCCTTTTACCTCTAAAAAAATGCAATATGTACCACATAAGATGCATCAGGATGGTCTTTTGATTTTGGGTACCCCTATCCTAGACGGGCCCAACCCCTGTGTTGAGTACCCTAAGTCAAATGCACGTGATGCAAACAAGCGTTCCTACTAGGGATCCGGCATGAGGCTATGTTATTCTAGGTTTAAAACCTGGGTGTATTGTTCTAGACCTAGCTTACCCGAGCGGACAACTCGAGCCGAGGGGGGGCTACGTACCGGGAACCAAAAGGCCATCCGGATTTGTAACTGATCCGAGCCTCATTCTAAATTAGAGTATGACACTAACAGAAAAGAAGTCACGCCAGCGTGCACTTCCCAGAAGATTAGAAGAGAAGGGTTTCACAACAATTTATATACAATTCAAATAATATCAAAGCGGTAAAAAGCGGCATTTAGCACATTAGGCTCAAACATGCAATAAAAATCAGATAATAAATAAAATACAAATATAAAAATAACTCTAAGCTCGAATTCTCGAACCCCGAACCAGAGATTCTGGGTTAAGTCCCCAGCAGAGTCGCCAGAGCTGTCACACCTCCTTTTTCTACTCCGAAAGGGGTATAATGGAGTTTTTCCAATTAAAGTGACAATAACCGAACTAGGATTATTTATTCAAATTCAGAGTCGCCACTTGGGATAATTTATGGTGTCCCAAGTCACCGGTTTAAAATCCCGAATCGAGAAAGTTTTACTCTGTTTTACAGTCCGCGAAATACAGAAATCCGGGTAAGGAATTCTGTTAACCCGGGAGAAGGTGTTAGGCATTCCCGGGTTCCGTGGTTTTAGCACGGTCGCTCAACTATTAATATTTGGCCTAATTATCTGATTAATTACACATTTTAAACCTACGTGCATTTTTAATTTTCTAACCGCTTTTAATGTTTATAGAACAAATCACGATTGTCGTACACTTGTTTGTTTTTGTACATGTTGCAAATCGTGTCACGGGAGCCGTACCCACGATCTACAACATGTGTATTTTATAATTAACATTATTAGAAGTTGTGGCCGGGTCACATAAATGTACCTCCGGATTTGGAAATTATGTATCACGACTACGTCACGGGAAACCGTACCCGTAGCTATGATAACTTTTGTTATAGCGCGCCTAAAGCAAACTACGAAGGTTCATGTTTAATAACGGCCTAAGCATTCTCCTAACGATTCATTATTTGGAAGAGATGAAATGATATAATATCTATTCAATATTCAAATATTCTTTAACTTTACTAACACCAAAAGAAACAATTTCTCTTCTACAATTAAACTAAGTCTAAACTTTAATTTTCCTTTGGCTATATTGTTCAACAACATATAATTCATGTAAATCTTAACCAACTGATATGAACAAAATCAACCAAACAGAAGTCATGAATCTCAGAATCATACGCCACACATAACATTTCAAGTCTGGAAGAAAACAGAAAGAACAAAGAGTTAAAAGAATCGGACCTCAATATAGCCGGAACTTAAATCTAACGGAAACTCGGACGGAACTACGAACAACTCTGAACAGCCTACACCTCAATCGGATTCGAAACCAATTCCAACACTTAAAGAAAAATTTATTTTAAGACCCAGGATCTGAACGAAAAATCAAATAGATTTTTCCTCTCAAACTCGGATTTTCTCTTCTTCCCTTTTTGTTGTTGACTGTATGTGTGTACGTTGTATTTTGATGCGCGTGTGTGTTTTGTGAAGAATGGAGAGGCTGACTGCTGGCTTTGGTAGAGTTACTGGCGAGGGCTACTGGTTTTTGAGACGAGGGAGAAAGAGATGGGAACGAGGGGGAGAGGATAGTGTCGCCGATGGTCGTTTATGTGTTGTGTGTGTTGAAGCTGCTGGGAGATGAGTTGGGGTAAGCAGTTGTGGCTGTTGTTGTTGTGTAGGTGAAGGGTGGTCTTTGTGTGTTTCCGAGTAGGGGTCGCTGGTTGGTGTCGTCACTCGCCGGTGATCAATTCCGGCGAGGCAGCAGCTCGCGCGAAGGAGATGGCAGAGGAGTCGAGGTCAGCAATTGCGGCTGCTTAGGTCTTTAGGTGTTGAAGAAGATGATGCCTAGGGTGTTTTTGGGCTGGGGTCGAAAACAGCTGTTGCATTCTCTAGGGTTCCACCATTCTTTTGTGTTTTTAGGTGTTTTTGTTGTAAAGAAGAAGAAGAGAAAACGGCTGATCCTCTTTAGGTCTTAGGCGTTAGGTCTTATTCTCTAGGTTTAGGGTTTTAGGGTTATTTTTAGGTTATGGGCTAGATCCGAATTGGGCCAAATTTTGGCCAAATTTACCTTTAAAAAGTGGTCCTTTAACTCTACTAGACTAAAAATATTAACTCCTAAAATAACAACTATAAAATTATGAAATTATTTCTAATTAATTAAAGTAAAAATTAAAAATTAAAAGTGAAACTATTTTATATCAATTAGCTAAATAAAAGAAAATATTTTTTGTAATTTTTATTTTTGTGACAGAATAAAGTAAAAAGAGTCAAAACTAATTGAAATAACGATATTAGGCCTAAACTAACTATTTAAATGCTAAAATATATAAAATCTCGGAGAGGGTCAAAAACTACATATTTACATATTTGACGTGTTGTGTAATTTTCCCTTTAGGATATTTGTCATTTGTGTCAAGACAGCCTTCTTATGACCGCCTTTAAGATGGCATATAAAGGACTAGAGGAGGTCTTCAGACTGTCACCTAAAATACACAAAAAATTCCCTCGTGTACATTTGTGGGGTGCAGCGAAAAATATGTTGTGCACCGAACTATTTTTTTCGTGTACATTTGTGACCAGTAAATAATAGGAACAACAATAACGACAACGACTACGACCTAGTAAAATCTCACTAGTGAGGTTTGGGGAGGGTAGTGTGTACCCAAACCTTACCCCTACTCCGAAGGAGTAGAGAGGTTGTTTCCGAAAGACCCTCGGCTCAAGAAGACAAAAGATAAAATGAGACAATATCAGTAACACCAAAGAAATCATAGGAAAAATAGGAACAACATGAAATCCAGAAGAAAGATGCAAAGCAAAAGCGAAATAGTAACCCTACCAAACTAGTCTCACAAAGTTATGAAGTAAGGCAAGACTCAACTACTTCCTAACCTACAACCCTAATACTCGACCTCCACATGATCCTATCAAGTGTCATGTCCTCGGAAATTTGAAGCCTTGCCATATTCTGCCTGATCACCTTCCCCAATACTTCTTAGGCCGCCCTCTAATGGAAAGAAAAGGTATAATAAGATAGGATAAAAACTGAGCTTACTCATGTTCTCATACATCACATACTCAACTTATGAAGTCTTAGAACTGTATTATGTGATGCAAATTTAGACAATTCAATAAAAAAGAACTATAACAAATTAAGAACACGAAAGGCTTAAATAGATGGCTTGCAATGCCTAGGTTCAATTTTGTACAATTAACTGATTAAGTCCATCTGATCTCTGTTTATTTTTTTTATTTAATAGTAGGCACAACTTGAAGAAGTAGTCATTATTACGCTGCATAGTTAAAGCCTTCGACCTTTTTGTAACTAGAACCCTATTACTACTATTTTATACATATATATTTTTTATATTAGGCTAGCGAATATTATATTTAATCGGTCGGCCAAATATATAACTTTATCTTTTATTGTTGCATCAAGAGAAAAAGGCCGTGCTTGCGACTACTCCATGTTTTGTGATGACATTGAATTGGTTATAGAATGATTAAAACTAACATTGTACAAGTATAGTTGTTTAACTACATAAGTCCAAAATCTTTTCTTTTCTTTAAGAAAAGAAAATGTTCTTTTGGCTTATTTACAAACTATTAATCCATATACTCACACTAGAAACTTTAACTTTTCACTTCAAATCAAATTCTCCTCCCGCTCTCGTTTTACATTAAAGCGCCCAATTCATAATTGACGAATTTTACCTCCTCACTTTGAGTTAATTTCTTTACTTTTGGACAAATCCCCATGACCAAAACCTTGGATTCTTTTTTTACCTCAGTAAATGTCGAGAATTTCAAGAATGGATCTGTTACAAAGGGGACAACAACCTCGATTTACCCAAAGCTCTCTTGAACAAACCCTGCAAAATGTGTGACCACATGGTATGAATGCTGCTCCCTTTTTCCTCTGCATACAAACACAGCAAACATTTTCACCCCCTACCCCCTCTTCTTTCTCCATTAATTCTCCCTCATATATCTCCGTTTCTTCTAACAATCTCATCAACGACATTCTTGCTGGTGTCCCGGGTACTGTCCTCGGCCCGTCAACATCGGGCCTCAATGGGCTCGGGCCGGGCCGTGAACTCGGGCTATTGTCAATTGCATTGTCTGAACCTTGCTCTGCGGCTTCCTCTCGGGAATGACGTTCGGCGGCCAATGCGGCCGCCAAATTCATCCCGGAACTTCCTCCGGGAATATGACCCAAACATGCTATACTAGTAGTAGTAGAGACTGTTTCGGGCGGTGTATGAATTATATGATGACTCATCACTTCTTCTACGTCGTCTTCATCGTCCATGATATTTAATGTTGCTGGCAATATACCCCATCTGGACCCACAACATCCGATTCCTTTTAATCCTAGCCGTTCTGTTAAACTCTTTCGTCGTCTTATAACTCGATCTTCACCGTCCATTTTCTCTCTACGTCAACAACCCACCCTTCGTTCTTGCTGCTATCCCTCTGTTTGACCTTTCCTGCAAATAGAAAACCCAAGATTTCATCTATTTCAGCCATTTATACACATACCACAAATGCCACATCATAGGATACAACAAATTATGCATAGGTACATAAATTTTCAGTATTCAATATGAAAAATTAGCATTAATGAACAAATGGAACAAGTATATGCGGCCTTGTTTAGATTATATATCCAACTGAATTCAATATTTTCGACAGAGAATATACATATGAAAGTTACTATAATTTTAAAAATATACTAATTAAGTTCAGTACCAAAAACCTTAAAAGTTGAACTTATCATACTTGAATTCTGAATTCGTATATATATATATATATATATATATATATATATATATATATATATATATATATATGAGAAGTGAAAAAAGGAAAAGAAAAGGTATATAAAAGAGAAATATACTTACAAAGAATCGAAAATGAAATTAGTGGTAACCTAAAAGGCATTGAAATTACATCAAGAAACTACGATATTTGATGGACTGGCAGGTCAACCACGTAATTTATTCCTCAACCACTTGAATTTAATTAACAAAGATAATTAAGAAAGTGATTAATTAGCATAATTGGGGGAAAAATATGAAGGAAGAAAACTGGGATTGCTAGGGTTGATGTGGGAGGGAAGGAGAGAAGGAGCTGTTTAGCTATGAATTGGGAAGTCAATGAAATGTGGTTTTTCTTTGTGGAAAAAGATAAGAGAGACTAGTATATATTGTTAGGTGTAATATTATTCTTCCTTTTTTGAATTAGAAACAAACAAAAAGACAAAATGGAAGGAAGAAAAGAGCAAGAAAAGGAGAATAATTATATTGGTGGGGGTCTTTAGGGGGATATTTTTTGGTGGTTTGGACAAATTTAAGATTTGAATTTTATGAATTTCAAACGTCATTAAATTATTGGTTATTTGAATTGTTGGGTTCAAAATTTAATTTTTATAAATATTTTATAAATTCTTTACAATTTTTTATGTTAATATTTTTCTTTTCTTTAGTTCTCATCATAATTTTTTCCTCTTCTATTTCCAAACCTGTTTCGAAAATACTTTCATGAGCCGAGGCTAATGGAAAATGCTTCTCTACTTGTGTAGGTGTAAAGTTTGCGTACGTCCCATCTTCCTCGGACCTCATTTGTAAGATCATACTGGGTATGTTGTTATTGTACAATATTTTGTAAATTACATTCGCCATGTTTGGTGGTTTAGATAAGATTAATTTATTTGGCCTGAAAATTAAAGGAACAAAGATTAATTGTTATTTTTCTTATTTTTGATAAAGATTGAGTCTTTGACAAGAATTCTCTTGTTTTTAATGGGATTATATATTTTAAAATATTGCGTGTTTGTGTGAGGTTTTAAGTGGTCGCCGGCCTTAATTAAAGTCAAAATTAAGCCATAGACTCATAGAGGCAAGGCTCACAAACCAAGGTTTTTCCATGTGGCATTTGCTTTTGGCTTTAGGATATCTTTCCCTTTTTTGCAAGTTTAATTATTTGGTATTTATTATCCTTTTATCTTTCTTTAAGTTCAATGATTATGTAAGTGGTTGAGTAGTTAAACCACATATGTAATATAATATTTGGAACAGATTGTATACTTATGGCAAGGTTTTTAAAGTACAAAATATTGTCAAATCTACTACGATATTTTCCATCCAATTTATTTACCTTATTTCAAAGTACTAGTATTAAGGTATGCGCGTTGCGCGTGTATCCCATTTCGTCAGTGATTCTTTTAAAAAGAATCTCATAAATTCTTTATTAAAAATTGTATAAGATTACAAAATAAAAATTTATGCTCTTGAATTGATGGCTTTTATATATATATATATATATATATATATATATATATAGCTAACTCAATAAATGAAGAAACTCTGCCTCATAGAATACCTCAATCATTACTCTGTATATTCAACCAAACTTAGTTTCAGTTCTATAATTTCATCATCTAACTTTTATAGGGAAAATTAAGCGACACATCAAATATTTATACAGTATTTACCATTCGTAGGTATACTTTCAGTAAATTTACCATTCATAGTTATATTTGAATTTTATAGAAAATCGATGAAATAAAAGATTAATTGTTTTGAACTGAAATAATAGAGCAACAAGCTGTCGTAGCTCAGTTGGTTCCACTGCCCGCTTAGTCAGCGTAGGTCTTGAATTCGAATCTCAACATAAATATTTTATTTTCCTGTATTTCTGTATTTTGATTAGTTGTATTCGTTGCGCGAACAAATACAGTTGATACATTATCCGTTGTATACACTCCTGTATAGAGATGATACATGTTGTATCCTTTGTATACATCCTTATATTTCGCCTTAGTTATAGTTGATATATATTATATTCGTTGCACGAATGAATATAATTGCGCGAACGAATACAGTTGACACAGTTGTATTCGTTGCACGTTTGAATACAAGTGATACAAATTAGTAACAACCGAATAGTAGCTACGAATGATAATAAGCAAACTATAGTGATTAGGCTCTAAACTATAGTGTTTATGAAAATTCGTTTTAAAGTACTTTTGAAGAAAATACACTTAAAAATTCTTTTTAAAAATTTGCTCAAACACTAATTACTGTTCAAAAGTGCTTTTTCAAATTGATTAGCCAAACACAAATTATTTCTTATCAAGAGTACTTTTTTTATTTTAAAAAGAACTTTAAAAAAATTCAAAATAAGCTAATTTCAGAAGCACAGCCAAACAGGCTACACGTTATCAAGAGCTCATGAGCAAAAATGGATATGTATGGGCTTTCACAACGTACTCATGTATTGGACCGTCCATAGATGAGAAAATCGGTCACTTATAGCATGCCTGGCTGAAAGACCGCAATCAACAAAAATACATGAAGCAATACCTGCGCATCTCTATTAGGGGCGGGCATCGATAGGTTCGGTTATGAATATTATCGATTTAGCATATTGGTTATCGGTTTACAAATTTAATAAATCGATAACCGAACCGATAAGATATCTGTTATCGAGTATCGGTTAATCGGTTATCGATCATTATCGGTTTACCCGATAAGATAACTCAATATAAAATTAAACAAAAAAAAGACAATTCACTGGAGTTAAGCAAAAAAAAAAAAGAAGAAGAATTCACATATAGTATACTACCCATTTCTGCATTCTGTCAAGTGGTCACAACTGGAATAGCACTAATTCTTCAACAATAGTTGTCCAAATACATTAATAATAATACAAAGTAGTAGCAATTTCACCTTAAAATTAACAAGTCCAAACATATAGTACTAACAGTTCAAATTCAAGTTAACAAGTCAACAACTACTCAATCCTTATAGGCTTCGCCAAAGAATCAGTGGATAAATACTTATCAAAATGCAGCAATTCCCACAAAATGTTACAAGGCATTAGCTGCCTCCTCTGATATGATAACAATAATAGTTGATTTAGATTTTTTATTTCACACAATACCTGCACTTCCACAAGCGTTGAAGCCCTCAAACAGTCCAAGATAACTGGATGCTGTTTGTCAAATGCCTAACCTGAAAAAAGAAACCATAGAGCAATCTCTATATGAAGATGAATTTTGTTATAGAAACTAAAAACCTAATGTATAAGACTAAAGACTTACGCTAGGAGTAAATAGTAAGGTCTATGAAGAATGAAAATGAAACATGATAATAGGTGAATTTGACTATAATTACGCCTTAAATAATCACCTTCTTGTGTAGTTTTAATGCTAAAAGTGATAACAAAATGCTCTTATTAGTGCTTTTCATGATTTGCAGGTGATATCTGTATAAGGAAGGATAAGGAGCAGTTTTGGAGTCAAAAATTGATGAAAAAGAGGCCAGCTGTGAAATTCCCCAAGTAAACCACGCAAAACAGGCCTGAAGATCAGAGCACTGGTTTGACCGCGGTTCCACCGCGACCGCGGTAGAACCGCGGTGGAAGACGGCTGCGGATAAATTCAGAATCAGAGAAGGCTTTTGGCCGCGGTTTGACCGCGACAGCGGCAGAACCGCGGCGGAAGCAGAAAACTTCAGGGACTAAAGTGTAAAACACGGGATTTTTAGACCTAAACCCTATTTAAAATATTAGACTTCTCCCAAGAGAGGCATGTAATAATTTTTAAGGTTTCTTAGCAAGGAAAACCATTGTGAGAGAATACTCCAAACATCTTTCTTCTTTACTTTTGATTTTTATGATGAATTCAATCTTAGTTTATCTTCCCATAGCCATGAGTAGCTAAATTCCTTGTCTAAGGTTTTGATGGAACCTATTGGGTGATGAACTTCTTGTTTATGTGAATACAAATTGCTAGTTTAATCTCTATTTGTTCAACTTCGTGTCTGTTGTAGTTAATTGACAGGATCCTCAATTAGCTGTGCCTATTTAGTGTGCATAACTTGGAAAAGAGTGCATATTTAGGGTATTGTTGAACAACACCACTCCTAGATTATTAGAGGAATCTATAATTGCGGGTGTAAAGGCGGGATTAGGGATAACGAAGCCTTGGGTGTAATCTAAAGTGAATCGTGCTAAATAAAGTAAGCTAGTGTATCTCGGGAGAGTGCAATAGTAAATTACTGTGATTACTCGGGAGAGATTTACGGTAAGATTAGCGTTCATGATTGATAAAGATGTGTTAGTAAATTTGTATGAGCATAAACAGAAGGGATTCCATCAATAGGGGAAATCATTGCCTTAGCTTTTTCTCATAATTGTTTACAACCTTATTAGTTTAGTTTACAGCTATTTAGTTACTTGCAAGCTAGTTGTTAAAGAATATTCAACTGAGATTTGAATATTTGGGAAGCTGGTTCTGAAGAATTAGTGGGTTTGAAGATAGTGGTTGATAGGTTAACTCTCTGTGGATTCGACCCTGGGCGTAATACTCGGGTTATATTTGCAACGTCCGCAGAGTCCTTTTTATAAGGCATAGTTGGGCGTGATCAAATTTTGGCGCCGTTGCCGGGGAGTTAACGGAATTATCAATTGCCATTGACAGAAATACAAAGATTCTTATTGTAGTCAGTTTTCTCTCTACCAACTTTTTCATTGAAAATTTGACGGTTGTTGATCTGGGTGCACAGGTGTATGCCTAGAAATTCTACGAGGACTGGAGAACTACTCGAAGGACTCTCAGACCCCGAGAAAACATTACGGGCATTGAATCGTGCCAGCAAAAGACTTCAACAACCCCAACAAACACACAAATTCGAAATTGACATGGGCGACATAAACGACCCCAACGAAAACGTCAGGAATGAGCAATTGGCACCTCCCGTGCCTGAAGGTGCACTATATGACTGGGCACAACCCACAACTGACAATCTGCCCACTGCCATTGTTGTGCCCGCAATACAAGCCAAATCACAAATAACATGCTACACTTGTTGCAGAACAAGGGACTCTTTTCGGGGACACAAACAGAAGATCCTCAGCAGCACTTGAAGAACTTCCTGTCTATATGCAAAACTCAAAGGCAACCCAACGTGACTCCGGAAGCAATCAGGCTATTATTGTTTCCATTCTCGTGAAGGAGCTGCTCAGGTTTGGCTAAACTCGCTCCCCATAAACTCTATAGAAACTTGGGAAACTCGAAATGAATTCCC